TTATACGTGTCAAACATATTTACTTGGTAATCACTTGAGGATAGCTCTTTGATCATTTTCCCTTCAGTGTATGGAGGATTTGCATTTGTCAATCACGATCTCTATTAGGTGTCAAACACAAAACCCCCTCAAATGTTCAGTAGGAGAAAAGAAACCTTTTTGATACAACAAAAAAACACATTTGTTACACTTCAAGTACTTCTGTAAAAAAAGAAAAATATCTAAACAACTTATCTCCTGTATTGACTTTCCAGGACTCTGTATGTGTAAATAGAGCCTATTATTAGTGAGCTGCAACTAACATTAATAAGAACCTATCATCACAGTTTGACAAGTGAGGCTTCCTATTAATAATATTGATTTTACTGGAACATGTGTATTTTTTTGAAGTAACTAGCACTGAAAAATCAGAACACTGGATTAAGTTGTTGAAATAGTAGGAAGTGAGGTTTAGCTTTCATTTTATTTTTAAAAAATACAGGGTTTGCATTTGAAAAAATTTGGGGTTAATAAATAGGGGGTGCTTTAAATGGGAAGTTGTTTGCACATTGTACCCCCCCCCCCCACATCCTTGTTTCATATATATAAGACATCAAGGATTCTACAGATATTCCCTGGTTGTCTTGAGATGGTGTAACTGCTGAAGTTTTACTGTTAAATCAAGCATTATCAAATGTTTATCTGTTACCTGTTATCTTTGTAATAATTCTTTGGTGCTATCTGTGGGCTTACAGAATGCCGAATTTTAATGTGTACTGTGTTAGGCACCAATGTTGTCAACAGTTATCATTACTAATGCCCAAGTGTATCAGACAGCAATGTTGAAATGTTATGGATTAAGAAATTTCTTTTTAAAAGCTACAAATACGTTTGGGATTTCTTTATTGTTTGTGGTTATGTTAGGTCCTTCCATGTCCACATCCCTCCCCAGACAGTTGTTCTATAGAGTGGAAAATATTGGAAAAGATTACACAAAAAGGGTATTTTTAAGTCATTTTTTTTTTTAACTGTGTAACTTTCTCTTTTTTTTTTTTCTTTTTTTTTTTTTTTTAATTCCCCCCTTTTTTTTCCCTGGAGTGTAAAAAGTAGTTCTAATGGGATATAGGGAAAAGGTAGTTGGCAACAAAAATACAATGCCAGGTTTGGTTGCTTCAATGCTCTTGCAATATAGTTACTACAGATTACATAAAAGCGGTTTATTTTATTAGCTTCCAAATAATGTATATATAGATTTGTTAATGGCTTACAAGTCAAGCTTACTCTTTGCTTTTTAAAAAATAGTTATAGGCATGTTGTATTTGCCTTGTGTAAATTATAAAAGGCTATTTATTAAGTTTTCTGATAACTAATCTATTTATTAACCTGTATTGTTTTAAAATAAATGATTTATTTCTAGCTCAATGCTTGTTTTGTGACTTGTTTTTAGCAAATGGGGTCGGGGGAAATCAAGTTTCCCACACACTGCTTTACAGGCTAATTCCAATTCATAAGCCTAAGTTTCCATTACCCTTTCATAAAATAGCATCTTTGCTTTTAATCAGAGTAGCAGATTCTTGCATGGGTACAGATCAGTTGGCCTACGAAGGGCTCAGTTGCCCTGTACCAGTATCTACCAGCAGGCTGCAGTCTTAATGTCTCCATTGGACTGAAGGTCGCTCACAGGTAGAATAAAGACTTTTCTGGCAAAAATATTTGCTGGGTCTTGAATCACTTCCAACTGTGTATTCAGGGTTAACATGTGCTCTATTCCCGCATTGCTGTACATTGGGTACTTGCTAGAGCTTCTATTTCAAGATTTACTGCTCCACAGTTGGGTGTGCATCAAGTGGCAACAACTGTAAAGAAGTCTGTGTCACCAGTCTAATTTACTGTCTGTAATAATAGCTCTCTGTAGAAAGAATTTCTTGGGAAATTGCAGTAATTGCCCATCTCATTCTTCATCTGAAATTCCTAGCCTCTTGTATCAGGTACTGGCAAATACATAACTTAGAGTCCGTGTGTGTGTCTCTTAGATTTTGGTTGGCTGGGGTTTTTTTTAATGGTGGGATTTATGATTAAGAACTGCTTCATTCTGTGCATTTGTGTTTTAGGGGATGCATTGATATTATTGCCAATCAAAATTCAAAGTTATCTTTAAACGAGGAAACTAGCTCCTCAATAATATTAAATGTATGCAGTGGAAAAAATTGGTATGGATTTTTTGTTGCAATTTTATTTTTAAAGGTATTTATGATATTAATGCAATGTACAAAGATAGATCAGAAACCTTGAAAGGCTTTCACTTCTGCATGCAGCATCTCTGACTTTTAAGTACGTAGGATAATGAGTCTGTATGTTGTTAGCAAAAAAATTCAGCTATCCCTGTCTTGTGCATGTCAGGAGCTAGACCTCTAAGGTAGCAGCATTGTGGTAAAGGCAAATGTGCCATTTACACCACTGGGGTTGTTGAAAGTCTGGGACATAATCAATCCTAAGCATATTTTTCTCAGCAACACAGTTAATTATCTCAGCAATGCAGTTCATATTGGAAGAGCATTAAAGGCAAAAATCTCATTGTGTTGAAAGAAAAAAAAAAATTCCTGTTAATTTTTGTGAGGTTTGTTCTATAAACTTAAGTCTTAAGCAGAGTCCCTTAAGTTCCTTGTGACACTGTAGATGTTGCACAGGTAGACTTACAGATGTGGTTTCTTTGTTCTGCTCTGCTGTCTTCACAAAACACAGCAGAGGAGTGGTCAGCAGAGACCCTGTTAAAGCTTCCTGAGGTTGTACAGGCATATTTTTGCTCTTTGCCCTTTTAAATTTTACAAGATATTTATACACATAGTAGATACTAAGCCCTAAAAAAATCTGTCCACAGCCACACAAAAGGACCTATATTGACTGCTCTCATTAAATTCCTTGGGCACAAGGATGGTTTGTGCACCTGAGAACAGGTTAAATTAGGCAGGTTACTACCATTCTCATGCTTGGAGTTTTTGCCAGATACTCAGCAAACATGCCTGAAATTCTGTGCTGTTATAAATTACTCTGAGATAGTTTGACTATTTTCCATTACTGAGCCTATCTCTTGGCTTTGAAATAAATATTTAATGTGACAAATTTTGTGCCAAATGGAAAGCATTGAATTTGCACTTTGAACAGTTGCACGTATGTTAAGTAGAACTCGAAGCTGAAAAAACACAAGAGAGGGGATTAACAGTACAACTGAAGTTCCACAAACGTCTAAACTGCTTAGAGGAGTTCAGTTAGTATTCTTAGGTACTTATTATTGTTTTAGCTTGGTTGAGAGATGTTTTTGAAGGGAGGAGAGCAGAGGAAGACAAGAGTGGAAGGGAAAGACTAAACTGACTTGCTTCAGACATTACTCTTAACTCATACACATTATCAGCATTTGGCATGATCACAGGCACATGAAGTTCTTTGGCTCCTTTAAGCTTTGAACCTAGCTACCAGTACTTAGATGATTCTGTTTATACTGTACTGGTTTAGGTGGTACAGGTTTTGATCTTTAATCCATTTGAGAAACCATTTTCACCAGCTGTTAACTTTTTCAAAGACTTCACAATTTTGATATCTTTTGGTAAAACACAGAAAAGCCAGTGTCTTACTGTGTCACTATATAGGCAATTACTGTCAATTGCTAAGCAAATTTTTTTTATCTTAAAGTATATTTTTATATACTTACACACACATACAATACTATTTTGTAAGTGCAAAGTTCATGTCAAGATACTAGATTCGTTTTATATTGGAGAATGGAATGTTGCCTTAGAGAACAAAATAGGCCTAACATTTTTCCATGTGCTTTGAGTGGTGTAGAAATTTAATTTTTTGTTTCAGAGCGAGGGACCATTTTTAATGAGATATAACACAGCGGGTAACTTGATGAAGAGTGGCTTTGTATCCCACAAGGATATCCCACAAGGGAAAGCCAAGATTGGTTTTGTTTCCAGGTCTTTCCAGGTGTAGCAAAAATGAAGCAGCTGCTTGTGCAGACTGGGATAATGTCAACACAAATCCTGAGAAGGCTAAAACAACAGGATCTGCTGTTCACTAAGGGATGTGACAAAACTGTCTTGAGTTTGAAGAGGCAGAGCTGAATCTTACATGTGGAGCTACCACAGGTATTTTGGCAGTGTTGGTTGTTCAGACTTAATGTTTCAAGGCAGCTGGGTAAAGCAATCCTCAGAGATAGTCATGAAGAAACCAAAGAACCCTCTGAGCCTGATGCTTGTTATGACTGTTTTGAAGTCAACAGTCCTGTGTGCAAGGACAAAAATTTGTCTAACTGTATTTATCCATTTACTTTTTATGAGATTAAAACAGCTTGGTTAAAGCACGTGCTGAGAGTGGGTGACCTGTTTTAAATAGATTCATTAACAGTTCCCTTTACCTGGCCCAGTAAAATGTCTCTCCCTTACAGCAAACAGCTTGCAAAAGAGAAGGCTTCGGGGTGACCTAATTGCAGCCTTCAGTACCTAAAGGAAACTTACAGGAAAGATGGGGCTATGTAGTGACGGTGCAGGAGGGAATGGTATCAAGGTGACAGAGGGCATGTTTTACATTAGATATTAACAAAAATTCCATACTGTGAGGGTGAAGAGGAGCTGAAACAGGTTGCCCAGGGAAGTTGTGGTTGTGGATGTCTCATCTCTGTAAGTCGAAAAGGCCAGGCTGGATGGGGCTTTGAGCGAGCTGCTCTAGTCGCAGGCGTCCCTGTCCACGGCAGGGTGGGTTGAAACTGGATGATCTATCAAGGTCCTCTTCCGACCCAAACCATTCTGTGATTCTACGATTTTCTGCGAGTGTAAAATCTGCGCAGCGCGGATGCTGCCAGGCGCGGGGCGGGTCGCGGAACGCCCTACCCCGGCGGAGCACGGCGTGTGCTGGCAGCCGGCCCGGGGCAGGCGGGGCTGCGGAGGGGCCGTGACCCGCGCCGGGCGGAGCTCGGGGCCGCGCCGCGCCCCTTCCGGCGGCCGCTGCCGGAACCGCGGAGCGGAGGGGCGGGCGGGCCCGGGACACCGCCTCGCCTGCGCTGCCGGTCCCCCCGCCCCGTCCCGTCCCCTCATGGCGCTGCAGCGGACGGGCGCCGGCCCCTCCCGCCGCCCGCTCCGGCCTCCCCCGCCCCCGTCTCCTCTTGGCTCACCGCTCCCGGCGGGCCTGTGAGAGGGACCCCACGGCAGGTAACGGCGGGAGAGGCGGGAGGGGGCCCGGCCGGCCGCGGGGGCGGGGGGAGGCGGGGCTCCTTCCCCCGGAGCTCGGCGCAGGGCCCTCCGTGCCGGGCGCTGCGGTGAGGAGCGAGCGGGGCGCGGGCCCGGCCTGGAGTCTGGCTGTACGAGCCCAAGGGTGGTCTCTCCGCGGTGGGAAAGGTGCGCTGTGGTCTGAGAGGCCGAGGTTAAAAGCCCCGAATCGCGCTGTTTGCGGGGCTCTCCGCCGGGCAGAGGTGTGCAGGGGCAGTGTGCTGGGGCTGCCCGTGCCGGAGCCGCTGTGCCCCGCACTGGCGTCTGCCTCTGCTTAACCACGGACCTAAACTGGCTCGACTTCGGTTCGGTTCAGGGTTGAGGTTTGTGCAGCCTGGTTCCAGAGCACCTTCCGCAGAACTTCAGAGCCCTGCTGGATCATTTTGACGTGGGAAAAGTAATCATAGTTTTGTATTGTAGTTCATTGTAGTCTTAAGCTGATCAGGGGAGGTTTAGGTTGGACATTAGGAGGAATTTCTTCATAGACAGGGTGATGAGATGTTGGAATGGGTTGACCAGGGAAGTACCTGGTGGAGTCACTGTCCTCGGAGCTGCTTCAGAAAAGACTGGACGTGGCATTCAGTGCCAAGGTCTATTGACATAGTGGTGGTTGACTCATAGGTGTGACTCCATTTCACATGTCTTTTCCAGCCTAGTTGATTCTGTGATTCAGAGTGACGATTTTTGCTCATTCATAAATATATTGTGAAGATTTTGCTTGGAAATAACTCCTTTGTCCCTGTTTTTTTCCCCCATTTTTTCAAGCAGTCAACTTTCTCTATTTCATTACAATATCTTTAACATTGTTTGTATTGAAAACGTGATAAATGTACGTCACTGTGGTTTTATCGTAATGCCTTTGATGTGCCTCGCTGTGTACAATTAGGGCTTTTCCACAGCTTCATCGATAGAAAATTATTCCATAAGGTTTTGTTGGTATCATTGGATTTAGAATTCAGTGTCACACTACTTCTGCTTTTGTTAAAGTACTTAATTCTGATGATAAAATTCTGGTGACAAGAAAGCAGGTTATAACAGGTTATCAGTCGTGTCAAAAGAGTAGCTGTGACTAATGTATAGATTGGACTTCAGCTTCTGAGTTATCTTAAATTTTAAACTGCCTATATTAAATACCAAAGGTAGAACTTCAGTGACCCTGTGCTGGTTATTCCTCCCACAAGAGTGGAACTCATGTGCCAGGTGCAACAAAGATGAGGCGAGCCTTACCTTGAGTTTATTTTGCTAGCATTCCGTGAAAACAGTCACTGCAGTATCAGTTATAAAGCACTGCCTGTAGTTTGTATTCAGTTAATGAATAACACTCTTATGGTGAAGATACTTTCTAGCTTTATGTGAAAGTGCTTTAATTAAAGGTCAGGTTTTTTATAGAATAACTACAAGTAGCACGTGCAAAGAACGGGTTTTTGATGTGGATTTTTTTTGTTTCCTCCTGGATTCATAAGATGAAGTGCTTGTTGCTTTTGCTTTATAAATAGAAATATGCTGTAAAGTATTAATTTTCCCTTTAGTTTATGTAAACCTTTTAAAATAGACAACTTTAGGATAGATAAGGTATGGTTTGCTTTCTGAGTTATACATATATGGATATATATAATGTTATATATAACATATATATGCATATATATAACATAAATATGATTTTAGCTTGCCTGTGTATAATATGTAAATAATTATGTGTATAAATTTAGGCAGTCTTTAACTTTGACAGAGCTGGAAGACTGTATCTTGTATTAGGGCAAATGTGCAGTACAAAATTGAAGGTATTGTTTCCTAAACAGTGTGTACAGAATCCGTAGGTACTGTGTGCATCCATCTTGGCCTTTTAAAGGTGCACTAAGGTTTGAACTCGTTTATCCTAACACTCTGTTGTGTCTGTGCATCAATATTCTCTCCATATGTATGTTTAAAATACATGTTTATGAGTGGATGAAATATGACTGAGGAAGGCTTGGATTTAATAATTAGGTATATTTGGGGGTTTTGGTAATCTTACTAAGAACATTTCTGTGTTCATATTCCCCACTGCCCCAGCATTCTGTGTATCCAAAGGAGGGCTGCAAAGACAGTGAAGGGGGTAGAGGGGAAGCTGTATGAGGAGCAGTGAGGCCACTTGGTCTATTCAGCCTGAAGAAGAGGAGGCTGAAGCTGTAGATCCTGATGAGGGGAAGCAGAGCGGTAGGCGCTGGTCTCTTCCCTCTGGTGACCAGTGACAGGACCCAAGTAAATGGCCTGAAGCTGTGTCAGGGAAGGTTTGGGTTGGATTTGAGGAAAATGTTCCTCACCCAGAGGGTGGCTGGTACTGGAACAGCTCCCCGGGGCAGTGGTCACAGCGCCAGCCTGCCAGAGTTAAAACCTGTGTGTGTTCAGGCACATGGTCGCTTTCTTGGGGCTGTCCTGTGCAGGGCCAGGAGCTGGACTTGATGATCCTTGTGGGTTCCTTTCAACTCAGCATATTCTGTGATTCTATATAAACATTGTCTTAAAATTCACCATATCAAAGCAAATAATTAAAACTTGATATTAGTTATCTTGCAATAAAAATGCCTTAGCACTTTAGTTACAGAATGAAGCTAGGAAAGTGTTTCAGTTCAATATTAATATGGTACCTTCTAAAGAATAACTTAGATCACAGGTTAGTTTCTTTGATTTGTGAAGTGAAAAGCAAAGGGATGAAATAACTACAACTGCAGGCAAGATGTGTCTAAGGAAGATCAAATCTAAAATCACACTGATCTGTTATACAAGTGTTTCTAAAACAAAAATCCTCTTCCTTTTTGCAGCATAGATGGACATTGTAAAGTCTTGTGTGTCATGCATGAAAATTAAATAGTCTTGAAATAATGAACGTAATTTTTTGCCAAATTCCTAACATGACGATTAATGCTATTTTTGACTTCTGTTTTAGAAACCTAACTTGGAAATACTTAAGAAGTGAATGCCTGTGGATTTTGGAGTAAGATTGGTATGTATAATTAGCCTTCTAGAGGCTCATCACTGAATATTTGGGTTTCTATTTTATTAGGGAATGTTTGTTTCATGTAGTTTTATGCTTGTGGAAAGGAAGAAGGGAAAACATAATAGCCAACATGACACATAATAGTCAGTGTGTATTGGTTAAAGCAACTTGTTGATTCAACCTCCTTTTCTTCCCTGACAAGCTTTATGGCTAGAAGGGCATTAAAGGTGCTTAATTCCAATGTTAAAACCATAAAACGTAAGCAGAATTGACAGTAAAATACCAGAGAACAGTTCAAAAGATGCAGAATAGCTGAACCTAGAGTATTACTGTCTTGTCAAAGCAGGCTTTTGTTCAAAAATCTTCTGTCATGTCTGAATCTTTGGCTGTTTAATGTTATTGATCTGGCTCGAAAAACAAAGAAATAATCAATAACATTGGGCAGGGAAGGATTTCCAGTGTGTAACCTTGGTTGAATGTTTTCAGGGAACATTTCTAAAAAAAGAGGGTTTTTTTAATAGGAATAAATGAAAGGTATTACACCCAGGCAGGAGTAATTTGCTATGTAAGTGCAGGAGGTTATACTAATAGAGAAGCTGAAAATGAGTCAACAGTAGGTGACTGCAGAAAAAGCGCTATAAACCCCACCTAGTTTGGATGTTTAAAAAGAAATACAGTCTACCACTTATTGCAGAAGTGATAATAACTCAAGCTACAATACTATATACAGCTTTTGAAATTGCACTTAAAAAAAAAACTTTTGGGAAAGGACTCAGAAGGCGGCACAGCAGGAGGCACCTGGAGGGTAATTCTGATATGTGGATTTGAAGATAAAGGGACTTGTATCTTTTTTTCAGCAGTGGGATTTGGTAGTAAAAGTAAAGATGATCAGATAATGAGAGTTGCTAATGGCATCAAAGCATGGCTGCCAGATTTTGAAGTTTCCTTTGCAAGTATTTCATGGGAGAAGCTTGGCTGAATTATCTATAATGAGGAGCAGCAGTGAATTATGTAGTACATGGCAAAGGGCTGAAGTAAATGACCTTTTAAGGTCTTTTTTTTTTGCTTAATGGCATCATCCTAATCATAGTTGAAAAGAGCAGGTTTAAAAAAGATTCTTGAATTTAAATAATGCAGTGTATATTTAGATTATTTCTTGTAAGTCTTTTAAGACTGTCTGCTTTACTCCAGGGGGCTCATGGCCAAGTAAGCAAAGTTGGAACAATGCATCATGTCTGCCTTTCCGAGCTCTAATTATTGCTTCCATATAATGTACAGCTCGTGGAAGTGATACTAATTTCCTTTGGCTGATAACTCCCATATTCTTACTTATGCTTATCTGCTTTTAAATGTAAAATATTACTTCTTCTCATTAAACCACTTTTAATGTTTCTGAATATTTAGACAGGTCAGTTGCTGCAATTAATGTAACATCTTTGGAGCACTGTGTGCTGCTTTTGAGAGAAAATGACTTCTGAGAAAAGGGGCAAAGAAGTGTTATCCTGTGTTTTAGATCAGAGAGTCTGTATCTTGCTAGCATTTGTGATGCATTTGGTTGCATCTTGAAAATAAGCAAAAAAACCATTTGTGGCTAATCTGGATTTGCTTATCTCCCACAGTTTTTTTTTCACAATCTGAGTTTCTCCATCTCTCCCTCTCTGATAACCTTCAAACCCAGTTCCCTGTGTGGTCTGTCATTGCATTGTTGCACACTGGGAGTTATGACTCATGACACCAGCAGATCCACAGGAAATTAATTTAATTAATGACTCTTGGAGGCATTGTAGATGTTGTAGCTTCTGTGAGCAGGAGAGTCTCAGCCCTTCTTTACTTCTCTGAAATCAGAGGAGGAAGCTAGAACTCCTCCATGACACTGCTGGTCTTGAGTGGATGAAGTGTTCTATGTGTTAAAATCAGCTGTGAACTTGATTAGAGAACCTTTGCAGAACTACACGACTGCCAGCTTTATTAACTCCTACATTTTCTGGCTTTTCTGTTTATAATGTAGTAGTGGCCCTGGCTGCTGGAATGCAACAGCTTTAGCATGTCCCAAGGCAGAAACATGAGAGGCATTATTTATTCCAGAAACTGCTCGTTTCATGGCATTTTCTCATGCTCATAGATAATTTTTCTTGATTATGTTTATAAGCATGCATTAGTTCTTCTTTTAGTAAGTTTCGGGGTTAGAATTAAAGCCCTGATTTCCTAACGTGTAAAACTTCCAGTGCCTGGTACTGGTTTGACCTTCCACGTCAGTTCTGCACATGCAAATTATATCTGCTGCATACAGAGGCAACCGGATCTCTTCAGAGGGAAGCTGGGTCCACCATGACTGTGTGACATGTGTCTACAACTGTAGACATCTGAATAAAACTTAGGAGGAAATAAGGCAGTCCAGCCAAAGCAGAAATGGGACTGGCTATGTCTATGAGGACAAATAAATGTGATGGGAAGAGCTAGCAGTAATTTATCTGAATTTATGTAATTTAAGTGGTTGCGAATTGAGTCATTTACAAGGTTAACAAAATGGTTGACAGGGCACTTCAGCGTATTTGAGACATGGGGGAAAATAGAAATACTAGTTTTGAAGCGTAGCATCCTTTTCAAGTGTAAATTCATAAAATTACCTGTGAGCACACAAGTTTCTTCATTCTTCTGCAATCAAATTCTTCCTCTGCTGCAAAGAAAAGCAGCCTATGCTTCTCCCTTGTTTCTGGAAATCAGTGGGTGGAAGGCGTCAAGATGGTACTAACTGATGCTCTTTTCCTCTCTCAGTGTAGGTGAAGGTATGCAAGCCAGGGAGAGAAGAAAAGGAAAAAAAATTGTTTTGCCAATATGGAGAGTTCTCTTTTAGTAAAAAGCTACCCAAGTAAAAATAATCCCATTAGTAATATAGCTAAAGTAGCAACTGTTGAAAAAAACAGTAAAGCATAAAACTTAGCAAAACAGCCCCTCCCCCAGGTGATGCTATACCACTGTCACATTTTGCACCAGCTGGAACTGGAAGAACATTCTTAGCTTGATTACCTGAACAGAGTGCCTTACACTTGCTAGAACAGATGGTGGAGAGAACAGTCACAAAAGTCTTACTTCTTTTCCTTGCATTAAAAACTTCTTCAAGGGACTGAAACTCTTGTTTGAATTTAAAACCAGGATAATGTTTTATGCAGTTGGTGAGATGGTTGGGTTTGGTCTGTCTCACACACTGATGGTTTGTCTTTCTTGGTTTCATTTGTTAGGTGGTTTTGAGTCATGCAAGAATCTAGTTTATTTTTAAAAGTTTATAGAAAGTGAAAGCACTCTCTTCTAGATAATTTACATAGTTTCTCCTACAAAATAAGATTTAAACATTTACTGTGCGGGGATTAAGGGAAGTGGATTTGAGAATTTTGAACTGTGGCTCATGCAGTATTTTGAGTAGTGCTATGTTGAGTGCTCATTGTTTTTCTCTACTTTTTCACAGCCTAACTGGGTGCAAGTAAGAGGATCTGTGCTCAGTTTTAATGCTAACCTACCAGTAGCTCTCTGTTAGGTTTTCCTAGAGGTGTAGCAAATTAATCAAAGTTGAAAGCATAAAAGTACAGGGAAAAGTAATATTGAAAGGTGCTTCACACAAGTATAGGAAACTGTAAAATAATTTAACAAAGGACTTATTTCTTGCCAGATATTCCTGTTAAAGAGTAATTGCATGTGCATGCATGTGAGGTTTGTTTGCATTATAAAAATGGCTATGTGATTAAACATCCTTCTAAGACTCTCATTTTTCTAGGGAGTTTATATGGAAGAAATGCTGCGACTGTTCTCAAACTCTCTTACAGACTGATTTCAATGTAAGTAATTTTTTGATCAGTATCATGGTGTGCCAGACACAGACTTGCATACTCAGTGAAAGGAAAAATAAATGACATATTTGTAAAATTGCCCTAAAGCTTCTCAAAGAATTTTTGTTTCTTTGGGTTTCAGTTTTTATATGCCAGGTCAGAAATCCTTCCTTCCCGGTGTTCAGACTTAGTTTCTCATCCTTAGTGCAAGCTTACACATGCTTTAGATTGCCTTTTTTTTTTTTTTTTTTTTTTTTTTTTTTTTTTTTTTTTGCTAACCAGTCTTTGCAGAGCCACTTGCAGGAGTCATGTGAGCTGTTGAGGATTTTCCTATGCAGCACCTTTTCTACCAGCTTAATTCTAATGTGTTAATTTTGCTCATGTTTCAGTGTTGCATCATTTTTTGTTGAGTATAAGAAGTTCTACTCCTCATTGATCAATGTGACAGTGTTTAGTGGTTTACGAGATGAGCCAAACTCGTGGGAAGTATGACTTCTGTATTGGTCTGGTGTTGGCTATGAGTTCCAGCATTTTCATTGGAGGAAGTTTCATCCTGAAAAAGAAGGGTCTCCTCCGGTTAGCCAGGAAAGGCTCCATGAGAGCAGGTAATTACATACATCTTTTAATACATTGCTGATGTTTTGGTTTTGCTGTTTAACAGAAGATTACTTCTGTTCATTAGTTCATTAAACTAATGATCTTGTTTTGACTTTTTTGGGTTTTTGTTACATGTATATGAAATCTGAAACATAGAGCTGCTGTGTTTTTTCTCTGGTGTCAGATACCCTTAACTGTGTGTGTGACACATGCTATTTAATGCATATGTAATGCCCTCTGGGGACACTTGTCAAAGGATTCCTTTGTAAGTCAGTTAAGTCTAAATTGTACTTGCAAATTGCAAGCAGCACTCTTAACTATGTGCTCCTGAATGAGTGAATTTAAGAGAGTTTTAACCATGTTTGGGTGTCAAGAGATTGAGAAAACTAAAGATCATGTGTAGTAACTGAGTATGCTGAGTAATGCACCTCAAGGGTTCCTACTGGAAGCAATGCTTTTAAATATCCTCATCAGTGATACAGAGAGTGGCACTGACTGAGTGTGCTCGCAGTGGGGTCGTGGACCACACCAAGCTGAGGGGGGCACTTGGTTCTCTAGAGCGAAGGAAGTGGCATCCAGAGGGTCCTGGATGGCCTTGGGGAGTGGGTCTGTGCAAACCTCATGGGGTTTAACAGGAACCAGAGCAAGGTGCTGCACCTGGGTCAGGGCAGCCTCCGATATCAATACAAGGCTGGGGGATGAACAGATGGAGAGCAGCCCTGCCCAGAAGGGCTTGGAGATAGATGCTGGTACATGAGAGGCTAGACATGACCCAACAATGTGCACTCACAGCCCAGAAAGCCAAACGTGTCCATATGAAGTGTGACCAGCAGGGCAAGGGAGAGGATTCTGCCCCTCTGCTCTGGTGAGACCCTACCTGCAGTGCTGCATCCAGCTCCAGGATCCCCAGCATGGGAAGGACGTGGACCTGTTAGAGCAAGTCCAGAGAAGGGCCATGAAAATGATCAAAGGGACAGAACACTTCTGAGGATAGGCTGACAGAGTTGGGATTGTTAAGCTTAGAGAAGAAAAGGGTCTTGGGAGATTTATAGCACCTTCCAGTACCTAAAGGGGGCTTATAAAAAAAGAGATGAGACTTGGTTTTGGGTTTGGTTTGGTTTTGACCAGGGCCTGTATTGACAGGACAAAGGGAAATGGTTTTAAATTGAAAGAAGATAAATTTAGGTAGGATAGTTGCAGCATCCTCAGATGATTCAGAAGATTGACTCTGACTATTTTTATTCAGTACCTGTCATCTTTGCTTCTAAAAGATGGTTGATCTTCAGATACATAATTCATGCACCCTGGTTTGGAATGAAAAAATGTGCTTGCACATGTAATCAACCACATCCAAACCAGGCACAATTTCTGCAGAGCAGCAGTCTTAGTAAGAGACACATAACTTGGCTTTTCATGTAATTTCAGTGATTTGAAAGAACTGTTTCTCAGGGTAATGCAGATACGATCATCACTGCCATTTCTAACACAAAAGAAGTAAAATAACTGGTTGTAGGAGGCACAGGCACATCAGAAACTGAAGATGCTTTGATTTCAACCCTTTTACCTAGAGAGCCTAGGTATCAAAACGCTGCTCATGTTTTTAAGGGCATGGGTTGTAAAAATTATTTTATGTCATGGCAGTGTTGTAAGTGATAGGGTGTCAGTGTTTTTAGTGGAGTAGCCAACGTTCTTTCAATTTTAGGTCAAGGTGGTCATGCATACCTTAAGGAATGGCTGTGGTGGGCTGGACTTCTTTCAAGTAAGTATCAAAAATTATTCATCTAAGTATCAAAATTGCAATCTGCATTATATAATTTTAATAAATAACTATGCCACAGATGGCAGCATGGTTATAAAAAGGGAATCAGATTACGTTACTACAATACATGGTAGTATTGTATTACTATCACCTGGTGATTTGATGGATGAATTTCAGATTTTAATATAACTTCTCTCACACCAGAAGCTCTTCCTTTAATATAACTGCCCCCTTTGTGCAGTGGAACTAGGCAGACATTGAGTTTTTATGCCTTTGCTACCCATATGCATTTTGGTTTTTGTCTCAGCAGAGAAGTGCTTATATATATAGGATTTCTTAAAGGGAAGCATATTTTGGGATTATGCCTGTTTTCTTAGTTTTTTTCATTGCTTGAACTCTCAAGTTACTGTCTGTATTTAGGTAATTATGGCTTACTGTGTGTTCTGTGCTATATCATGCTATTGCAGATTTCTCCATGCAGAACTTCATGAGTCAAGCTGGCAGGCTGGGGGGGACTACAGCACAGACACTAAAATAAAACACCTTCTGATTTGGTAGAATTAATTCTAATACCTGTTGTATGTAGTTCACAGTCTGCTTTTAAAACTTAATAGTGGGGATGAGGGGCAGGGGTGGGTTCTGCTAGTACTTTTAGCTGTCATTAGAATTTCGCATTGTTCCCTTGCTGCATGTTTGTGTCTACATGAACACTGGAGACACTTACTTGCCCTGGATCAGAGGTTTGTTGCAGGAGACAGCCTAACTCCTGGGTTTTAACTGCTGTTCTTCTGTTCCTCTGCAGTGGGAGCTGGAGAAGTAGCGAACTTTGCTGCCTATGCTTTTGCACCAGCTACATTAGTGACTCCTCTAGGGGCTCTCAGTGTTCTTGTAAGGTAAGAAACACTAACAGAAAGCAGTGTGACTTGAGGCAGAAAATAAAATTATTTCTTTAGAAATATGTCACTGAACTATGTTGTAATAGATGCACTCTTCACAATGGAGTGCTTATAAACATCAGGAATAACTTTTAAGTGTCAAAATAAGTAGTGGTTATGATATAAAAGGGTTCTAGCAATGTGTCTACATGTCCCATCTCTGGAAAAAGCTATTGTCTTCTGCATTTCAAAAACATGGTGATCCCAGCAGAGCAGTATTTTCATTCCTAAGTAAAGATTTTTGTAATTTGAAAATTATTTTTGCAGGTTCTTAGATATAGCATTTTTTTGGCAGGCATCATAAAAAAGGGGTTCTAGGCAGAGATGCCAGATACTAACAGGTAGTTCTGCCCACAGCAAGTATCTCAAGATAGAAGATAGCTATTTTTAAGCTCAAGATTGTGTATGCAAGTGACTTGTACAGTCAAAACAACCTGTAACTTGATGAGCAAATGAATATTACTAATCCCATGTTTGTTGGTGCCTTTTTTTATTTTTTAGTGCCATTCTGTCATCCTTCTTTTTAAATGAAAAGCTCAATTTACATGGAAAAATAGGATGTTTGTTAAGTATACTGGGATCAACTGTGATGGTAATTCATGCTCCACAAGAGGAAGAAGTAGAAACTTTGGATGAAATGTCCCACAAACTAGGTGATCCAGGTAAGAAAAATGCTGGTTTGAGCTGTACACAGCTCATCATTTCTTCATTTTATAGTTTCATTATATTCAAGTTCCAGGAAGCAGCCTGTGTCTGCTTCATGTAGACATGTCCAAAAGAAGTAGAGATTTGAATTCTGTATAATTCAAAGCATAACTCTGTAGGGAACTTTGCATGATGGTGAGATGAATTTGTCTAGCCTTGAATAAAGTGCCTCTATGGCAACCACTGAGGTGGCGGTTTAAACCAATGCAGCAGCACAGGTGGATAAACAAAACTTCTATAAATTTTGATTGAAGTGTGTCACCTCTAAGCTGAACTTTGACCTGTCCTTAAAATGAAAAGGTAGGTGTTGTGGTGTCTGCTGAGAATTAAAGTCCTATAGATAAGCTGCTATGCCCATGTGGAAGATGAGGCACACACAAATGCAAGTCTGCAAAATACAATTTATACAAAGGCAATTCTCATCTTAAACATGAGGAAATAGCCAGCAAAGAGATTAAAAAGTTGTTCTTAAGGAATGACCTGATTATTGGAAACCTGCTGATGAATACAGCCACCTGCCAAAACATATCTCCTAAAAAAGACTCAATTCACATTCAGGCCTGTGTCTAGTGGCATCTACACTTCAGTGAGACTGGGTGTAAGGCAGTTGAGTAATGTAATCCTGTAGTAGTCTTGCCAGTAGACTGGTAAAGGTAATACAGCATGCCAGAGCTACAACCTTTGTTTTGGCTTGCTTACTCTGAAATCATCTAAACTGTGATGTTGGAGGAATAATGAGAAACATCCTGAACTCTTCTGTTTAAGCTGAGTCAATCCCATTGTTAATGAGTGTTTTCCATTAACACCTAAGATGCATAGGTGCACTCCTAAGATAAATACCCCTGCTTCTGATAGATAGAGGCCAGAAGTAACAACTGTGTCTATAAATAACAAGATTTTTTTTTTCCTCCAACCACAGGTTTTGTGGTGTTCGCAACGCTCGTTGTCATTGTGTCTTTAATTCTAATATGTGTGGTGGGACCTCGCCATGGACAGACCAACATTCTTGTGTACATAACAATTTGCTCTGTAATTGGAGCCTTATCAGTCTCCTGTGTCAAAGGTCTGGGCATTGCTATAAAGGAACTTTTTGCAGGAAAACCAGTGCTGAAGCATCCATTGTCTTGGATTCTGCTGCTAAGCCTTACTGTCTGTGTGAGCACGCAGATCAACTATTTAAACAGGGCTTTGGATATATTCAACACTTCAATAGTGACTCCAATATATTATGTAATCTTCACAACATCTGTTTTAACTTGTTCTGCCATCCTTTTCAAGGAATGGCAACACATGGCGGCTGATGACATTATTGGCACCTTCAGTGGCTTCCTGACTATTATTGTGGGGATCTTTTTATTGCATGCCTTCAAAGATGTTAACTTCACCCTAGCAAACCTGCCCCTCTCTCTGTGGAAGGATGACAGAGCAGCAAATGGCACTTTGCTGAGCACATATGACAGCTTTAATGATGATGAAGAAAGTTCTTCCTGCATAGGTGAAATGCAATCCACTGAGAGTCTCTCAGCCAGAAGAAATGGAAACCTGTCAGCCTTCTGAAAATATCTACGTGTTACTTAAGAAAAGAACAATTCTGTAACCCTGGAATTTTTTTTTTCCTGCTGTGAAATGTCTGAGCTTGTCTGGAAAGTCATGTACTTTTTAACAGTATGTGTAGACAATCGTTGATTTTTGAGTTTGATTAGTTTGGATAAAGAACACGGAAATGTTTTTTATTTGCCTTACTTTTACTTTAAAAAGTACTAAAATGACCTCAGACCACAAATGGTTTTGTTGCTAAGTTATGTGTAAATACTTTCATTTCTTTCTTCTGTTTTAAAGATGTATTGCACTAATTACAATTTTATCAAAAATAAATGGCTTTATTTCTGCATCGGTGGTAAAAAGGTTGCAGCAAACCTGAATCCTTGTGCCCTGACTGGCCATAGAGTGACTGTAACCATATTGAAACAGGAGCTGCAGCAACTACTCCTGTCCTAGTTTGTAGAAGAAAAAAGAGAAGGCTACCAAGCACAACTGATCCTTTGGATATACTGGTTAGGTAAAGCTGTAAGCAAAACTTGCTGGATTTGCATCAAAAAAAACCCAACTTTATCAAATCAAAGTAACTGGCCAGCAAAAACAGGAAGGCAGGAGCTTGTGTTCTGAGTGGATAGGTGAGATGGTAGCTCCTGCCATGACAGTTTATGCAGAAGGAAGGCTCTGAGTCATTACTCATAGCCAAAGAAGCTGCTCCCTCTTCTTCTGTAACAGATGTCGGGTCTGTCTGTGCTGCACCATGCTGCCCTGGCTCTGCAGACCTGTTCATGTTCCTGATGTTACAGCTTGAACTCACAGAATTGCTGTTTTGTTTGCTGCAACACTGAGATTTTCAAAAAGCCAAAAAAAAAGAAACATTAATGACATTGCTTAAAAAAAAAAATAAGGGGGGGGGGGAGGAGTGAGGCAGGTAGGTGGTAATTCAGTAAAGGCAGAAAATAAAAATAAGGGAAGAAGGTTTTATAAGAACTTTCTACCATGCATGTGAAAATTGGAAATACTTGTCACAGAGACTAATAGTTACTACTTCATTTCGTCAGGTTTAGCACTTACTGTTTAAGAGAAATTAAGATTTTTCCTAGGACAGAAAAAAACCCAAGTTACCACCTGTGAAACAAAATTCTGCTGCCTTCCTTTCTTATGTGTTATAATATACAGGAGGAATCAAACAAGAAAAGTGTCAAAGGTGTCAGAAGGTATCAAACAAGATAAAGGTTTTTGGTAAGAACTAATCGGAAATGAAAAAGTTATGCCTTTTGTGTCCCTTGCTGCATTTTTCCTTTTAGGTAGGAAAGGTTATACTAGGCAAAGAATATTTAGCTCCTATCAAGTCTATAATACTTTTTGAAAAATAATAAAAATTTACATTATAAAAATGGGAAACAAACATCTCCTAGGACTAATGTCTGAATTGTCTTAAACTTTCTTCCCCCTTAGTGATCATAAAGTATGTATTTAAATAGCAGTTTTAAGATGTTAAGAGACAATTATCTTACTGCTGAAAGTTAACTGGACAGAATTAGAAATTATTCACATCATAATTAGTTATTTTTAAACAGTTCTTAAACAAAAAAAAATCAGGCTTTATTAGTTAACCATTTCTGTACCAGTGCTGAGCCAAAATTTCAGGCGTGTGAGACATCCTTAAACCAACGATGATGTCAGCAAATTAGGAAAGTTGTTCATTTGCTTAACTGAAGCTGGAATCACAGGGAAGCATCTGGCTGACCAAAAGTCTTCTGTGTACTAAAAGACTGTTTCTTAAAGAAAATAATAAGTAAAAGAACTTGTAAACAAAGTGGTGTAAAAAATCCACAAGTGCTTCTGACTTCTGTCTCCCACGCACTGGGCAGCCTTGTGTACACTCTCACCATGACAGACACCACTCCAGAATGGCAGCTCTCAAGCACAGATGTCCTAGGGAAACCTGTGATTGCGAATCGTGCTGATAGACTGCCTGGAAAATCTCCATCCTGTTTTGCTGAGGAAATTTCAGTTAATTTCTTTCCTAAAAATCAAGTTCTCTGCCACTCCAATACCTACATGTTTCCTCACTTCCTGTGTACCTCTTCTGTCAGATGCTCATTTCTACCCACTGTTGAAAGCAATTCCATGGCTGTGAAGCACCTGGAAAGAGCTGAGCAGGAGAAAAGATGTGCTGTAACCTAGCCATGAACTACTAAGAGGCAAGGAATAAAAACAGGTTCTCAAAGGGATGCATTCTTGGTTTCACACTATAGGTTAGAAACTAACCAAGTAACATCTCCACAAACCCATATCCTGTGTAAAACATGTAATTATCTGTCTCTGTGTGTTTTGGCCATCTTAACATCTTGGTTAGGGCTGATCCCAAAGCCAGCTGACAGGATCCTGGAGTAAGCAAGCAGGAGTTACTATTTTTGGCTGAACGGTTTGCTTTAAAATTCAACTTCTAAAGTTGCAAAGTTTTACAATTTTACTGATGCAATGTTTGCATTATACAGCAAGTGTAATTTAACAAATACTTTCCATAATAAATAACGATTAACATCATTAGAGTTTATATACTGGGATAGATTACACCTGATCACTGTAGTCAAGATTCTTTTAAACAAGAATTCCTCATCACTTGTAATCGTGTTTGTGTACACAGGTATGTATTGCAAACCAAAATATAAACTGTGTTAAAGCTCTCATTAGGAAAAACTAAACAGTCCCCCTTCTAATCACTCAAACTTTCATCTTTTTAAAAGATTAGAATCATATTGGCCACCTCCATGTTAAATAACTTTGAAACACTTTAAATAGCCTTCATTTCCATAATTACCAATCTCTGAGAATAGATTTGCAAACAGGAAAAGGAATCAACTGACTAGAAAATTATTCACAAAGCACCAGCAGAGTTTGTTTTGTTGTTTTTTCTTTTTTTTTTAATAAAGGCAAATTAAGCAATTAAGGCTCTAATACAAACAATTATGCATTGATTTCTAAAAATTTTTTCTACAGAACCATTTTTTACCCTCCACAGCCATTATTTCTATAGCTTCAGGGGAAAATTATACCAGTCCAGTCTAAAATGGCCACCTTGGACAGGAATGCAGAGATTTCAAAAATCTTACAGGCTTTTAATCAAAGTGTATAAAATTTTAGTCTAGAAAAATAAGTATGGATTGTATACAGTTACTGTGCTTGGAGACTGGAGAGAACAGTGAGCCATTCAAATGGCACAGGCATACTGAAAAATGCAGGTGAGAATATTCTTCAAAACTGTTCGTGTGGGTTTTTTTCCTTGTTTTTTTTTCTCACACTTTTAGCCTAAACAGGTGCAAAAAGTATTGTTAGGTGAGAATCTAGTTGCTGGCAAGGGACTGATGAATTGGTGGCTGGAAGCAGCGCACGTGTTCCACGGGTGTGCTCTCTCCATCACCAGACTTCAAATACTTGTCCAAAATAGCAATTATTTCATCATTTAGAATCTGGAACTTGCGAATTCTCTCAACCATTTTCTTCAAAGGCTGCAAACATCAAAATAACAGACCCAGAAATTAGCTTTGGATATGAAAAGCCTTAGCCAGAAAACCAGCAAATGCTGTTACCTCATCTCTCCCAGCAATTTTACAAATGTTTCCCTTGCATTGCTAAGCCAGTGAAAATACAAGGTGCAATTTGGTTTTTGACAGTGCTGTTACAAAGAAGCTCAGTTTACAGCCGCCTTGTCATTTTGGGAATGAACATATATAAGATGGAAGGCATTAAGAAAATCTTAAATATTTGTGACATCAGAATTCTGCTTGACCAGTCTTCCAACCCCACCAGCCTTATCTTTTGTTTCTGAAAATCCTGGTGTCCTCATTTTCAGCAATTAATTCTAAAAAAGGATTGCCACATCTATGCTGCATCTGAGGAAAAACAGCTCAGAGTTGTTGTCTTGATAACAAGTAAATAAAGATGTTTTTCAACTCACCACATTCTTGATAACCTCATCTTTGCCATCGTGCTTTTGGACTTTCAACAGGTGGTAGCAGAAATCCAACACGTCAAAGCGCCGCTGCTGTCCCAAAAGCACGATGATCATACATCCAGCCCAGTGCAAGCCATCCCCAAAGCACTGCCTGGAACAGGAAACACATCACAGAGCAGGTTTCAACTACATCTTCAAAACACAGTCACAGCAAACACTCAGTAATCAGCCACGTCACTAAATAATAAATATGTTAGATATTAATCTAGAAAGCAAAAACTCTGGTATATTAATTATCATTGGAGATATCACAAACAATTCAAGTAAGATAATTAACAAAAAAACCAGAACTCCTCCTTCTCCTTGAATTTCACATAACAGAGTTACTCCAAAAACATTTACTCCCTATTAGACTCCCATGCCATTACATTTCATTTTCAGTGGAAATAACACTTGCAAAGAAAACAAAGCGGGAATTCAGCACCACTCTGCTCCTTTAGGCTGCAGGCATGAAAGGAAGTAAATGTCTTATGCTCTTTTCTAATTGCTCAGTAAAAAGCATGTTACAGCTCAACAGTTTTTCAAAATAAGTATGTTCTCAAAACCAACAAAACCAAGAACAAACAACAGTTCCTGGTTAACTTGTGTTAATCACGTTAAATTCCTGATCTTAAATTCAGAGAAAAAATACTTGTTAAAGTTAGATGCACAAATATTCTGCTATTTTATTTAAGCCGGGTGTCCATAGGAGCATGACCCCTATTGAAAGACACGTGCTAGGGCCTGTTTGTCACAGGATCATTCATTATACACTGGCAATACTTAAAATAGAGGGTTATTTTCACTACAGATAACAATAATATCTGTGTTTGTGGATGATGAGCCCCTCATGGTGATGGCAGCACTTCTCCCTGGTTCTGCACTAAGCTCCTGCAGACGGGCACAGCCCCGCTGCCACAACAGGACAAGCCAAGCACTGTTGCCACAGGGCACTGCGGGCAGCCGGCAGCACGTACTCCACAGTGAACTCGTGCGTTCCCACGGGGATGCAGTAGACGAACTGCATTGCGCTCCAGAGGCGATGGAATTCCACACATTCATCCACATGCATCACCCCATTGCTGGGCAGGGGTCCGCGCCAGATGGGATCATCCAGGAAGGAGCGGATCCTCGTCAGGATGACCTCAAACATGGACAGCCCGCAGCAGAGGCGTTCTTTGGTCAGCAAGTCCCCTTCCCTTGCGATTGCTATTTGCTGGAGAGAAACAAAGAGAGAAACACAGCATAAAATCTGGTAACAGCCACTTCACCGCAAAATTTTATTTTAAAAAATAAATAATGTACATTTTTCAGTTTCACGTGGTTTATTCTAGGAGAAATGTCTTCTGATTTAAAGTGAGGTCAGAC